ACACACACACACACACACACACACACACACACACATGGACAAAAGGGCCAAAATTAAGACTCGATAAACGTCAAATGGGACTATAATTGGCTTTAGATTAATAAAACATTTAGTTTGCTGTTACCTTTTTTAAAAGAAATACATTACCTGAAGAAGTGATGCTTGCCCGAGTTACTTTGATAATACTGCATTTCTATGTGATTGCTAAAGGAGTTCTGAACATCGTATTATTATTTATATACTATTATGATATTTATTCATATTTTGAATAGTTAACTCTTTTTGTTGTACATTTTCAGCTTTCAGTTTAATTTTACTCTGTAAGAAAAATATCCCTAAAAACAGAAAATGTGTAGCCTATATTTGCCTTAACCCTAAATCATGACATAATGCAAAGACATGAAAAATCTATTTAAAAAATCCTTCATATTAACACAGCACACTGGGTCCTATTGTTACAGACTGTTTTATGTATGGCAGTTTACGTTTAGAAATTTTGTTATGTGCTTTTGTCATTTTTTTGTCATTTTTATTTCTGTTTTAATCTATTTATTTCAGTTTTAATTATTTTAGTACTTCAACTTTAACATATTTTAAGTTAGTTGCCTTTTAACTAAAACGTTTTAGTTAAAAGCCTTTTTTTTAAATAGTAAATAAATAGTTTTTTGTTTGTTTTTCATCTATTAAATTTGATTTGATTTGATTTGTATTTTCATCTACTGAATTTGATCTTATTTTTATGTTCTGTTTTCACTTTAACTTTAGTTACATTTTTAGTAATTTTTGTAATTTTTATTAGTTTGTTTTTTAAAATGTCTATATAGTTTTTAATAATTTATATTTATTAGTTTCAGTTTATTTAGTGAATTAAGTGTAACTTAATGAAAATGAGAAATGCAGCCGAAATAGTTTAGGATTTTATATATATATATAACTACATTACATTACACATTACACTTAATGCACTAAATAAACTGAAACTAACAAATAGAATTTAAGAAAAGCTATATAGACTTTTTTATTATTAATTATAAAATCGTTCATGTAAGTGCATGGAACAAACTGACTTTGTAGCAATATTTTCAAAACCAAACTAAACTATAAAATAAAATAATTTAAAATAAACCAAATTAAACTAAATTCAATTCAATTAAAAGTAGAAATCAAAGTGACTAAAAACAATAACACTTATATCATAATTTGTATTGTGTTCAGCTCTGTTTGTGGAAATTGGAAAAGGAGAATGCTTATGAGTTTCAGATGGTATAAGGCGTCCCAGAGTCCAAACCATCACTGTCTAAAGTAAACATACACACACACACACACACACACGGCAGATATTAGTGATTGGATTATGCCATATACAGTACAGCTTTCATAATGCACTCTTTGACTCTTTATGGCAGACGTCTTCTCTCCATGTCTCTCTGTTACGTGCCGGGACACACCAGCACACCTCGGCTCTCATGTTCATCAAAGCCCTGATCATTCAGCAGGATTATGGATCTTCACAAATGCACAGGGAACATACATACACACCACACATACAGCAGGAGCCACGTTTACACACAATGCACACATTTACACACGTACAGATGCATGCCAGAAATCACTGCTGCCACCTCATCCATCCATCATAATGCTTCAAACGAGAGATTGATGAACAGCCATCCACAGCTGCCCAAGCATGCACAGACACACAAGAGCAAACATCAACTTAACACAGAGAGACAGATCTATCCGTCAACCAATGCATTGTATTATTTTGGAATATAATGGGGATTTTTGAGACCAAAACACAATTTGTGGTACAATTAATTTGTAATTGCCTCTTATAATACTATTTATTCTTAAACAATAAAATAAAGGGTTAATTAGGAAATATTCAGATACTTCTGACACTGTTTGTCATCTAAGTTTCAAAAGGTGGCCCACAGTGTAACCTAAAATCACCTTACATGCTCTGCATATTTATTAAAGTAAATAAAATTTTTATGTTTTTGAAAGAAGGTTCTTCTGCTCACCAAGGGTACATTATTTTTGATCAAAAAATACAATAAAAACAGAAATATTGTGAAATATCATTTACTAAAATACCTGTTTTCTATTTTGCTACATTTTAAAATGTAATTCCTGTGATCAAAGCTGAATTTTCAGCATCATTACTCCAGTCTTCAGTGTCATATGATCCTTCAGAAATCATTCTGATATGCTGATTTTCATCCATGTTAAAAACTAAAAATTAAAAAATTTGGTGAAAACTGATTTTTTTTTTTCAGGATATAAAGTTAAAAAGAACAACATTTATTTGAAATAGAAATGTTTTGTAACATTATAAATGTATTATCTCTCACTTGTGATCAATTTAATGCATGCATAAAAGCATAATTTTCTTTTTAAAAATCATCATACCCAAACTTTTGAAATATTTACTCTTTAAAATACCATTTAAAATGTTTTTCTTTCCCTCCATCATATCACAGTTTTCTCGTTATTTCTGATCAATGCAATGCGTGTGTTTGAAAACAAAATAACATGCTACTATTTTCAGAAATGATAAACGAAAGAAATGACATTCATGCTGAACATTGGTCAAAATGTCGCAATTCATGGCACAAAGCTGGGCTGTGATTGGTCCAAATGATCGTGAAAACATTCTACTGCTCCTGTGGTTGAGGTTTAATAACAGATGCTCGAAGGAGAGGAAAACAAAATAATTATGAACGCACAAAGGGACGAGAGACAGAGAGGAGCAGATGGAAAAATTAACGAAGAAAAAAAAATAAAAAATAGTGATTTGTATATGGAAAGAATCATTCAAGAGGAAGTCAGTGTTATTGATTGATGCGGATTCAGCCAAAGTACAATCTGAGATTCACATGCACGTGTTCTTAACTCCAGAAATGATTAATTATGGAAAAGCGAGAGTTACTAAACATGACCAGACGAAACAAGCCAGTACAAAACTCATAAATGTAAACAATATTCATCTCTGGATTCAGTGTGCTAAGCCACTAAGGCAGCTGCCTTT